GGGCCATGGCAATCCCAGGCACAGCTACAGGTTGGGTGGGGAAATAATTGAGAGCACCAACGAGGAGAGAGACTTGGGGGTGATGGTGGATGAGTAGCTCACCATGAGCTGCAGTGTGAGCTCAGCCCAGAAAGCCAATGGAATCCTGGGCTGCATCCAAAGGAGTGTGTCCAGCAGGTCAAAAGGGGTGATTCTTCCCCTCTACTATGCTCTGGTGAGACCCACCTGGAATACTGCACACAGTTCTGGTGCCCTCAACGTAAGAAGGACGTGGAACTGTTGGAGCAAGTCCAGAGGCCATGAGGTTGAGAAGAAGACTGGATCATCTCCCCTCTGAATACAGGCTGAGGAAGTTGGGGCTGTTCAGCCTGGGGAAGAGAAGGTTGTGTGGAGGCCTCATAGTAGCCTGTCAGTATCTGAAGGGCCACCTTGGCCTGTATTTGATTCAAGCTTTTTCTCTTGCATAACTGAATTAACTTTATGCATGTCCTTTTTTGTCCTTTCCTTCTTAATCCCTTCTTTACTTAGGCAGCCTTTTTTTGTTTTCCTCCTTCGCCAGGAAGAGATTCCCAGCTGAGTTCTTTCCCTTAGGAATCTCACGACTCTCACGATGTAGCTGTGGGAGAAGGATTACCACTCTCAGCCCCTGAAGCCACGCAGGGTGCGTGAGACTCCCAATATACAGTCATCACATGTTTGTGTTTGCAAAGAACAACTTGGGACTGTAAGACTGGAAATTTCTATGGTCAATCAACAATTACAGGTACTTTCCTTTCAAACACAATACTGAAAAATTAAAACAATATCTGGAGTGATTCTGCGTTTCAGTGTTGGCAGTACCGTTCTGTTTATATTTACCGTGTGCAGTATTTTTGTGCTGTTTCTGTGTTCATTCTGAACTATTTTAACACACTCACAAAGAACAGTTGTCAGCTTAGCACAGCTCCATTTGGGAACTGCCAGCATCCGTAATGGCAATGTAAGAAGAGAGATGAGCTGCCTGGATAAACAAGATACTCTTTCAAGAACCTGAGGTGTAGGCAAGCTCTGGAGTGATGAATGTTTTAACATTTAATCTGCTCCTACCTTCTGCACATCAAAGGCTCTGGAGTGAGCAGCCTGTACCCAAACTGGTTGTATTTCTGCAGTAGGCAGTGACACACCAGACGCACTTGTATGCATGCAAGAAGGCACATGACGCCTTGTTCAAATGTGTGTCACCATTATTAATGATGCTCAGCAAATGCAATTGCCAAGTTACTTAGGCAAATACACTTGGAGTGCCACTGAGCTATTCTCCTTGGAGCCAAATAACTCTCACTTCACCTTGCATCTCCTAAAATGCAGCTCTGCCCAATCACAGTGACGCAGTAATAGATGGCAAAAGCATTGTCCTCAAGTGACCTCTCCCTGTGGGAAAACTTCCCAAGGACTCTAGATCTGTATTATCATAGAGATGACTTGCCTTAGAGATTCAAAATCCAATTTCCTCAAACCTGCAAAGCTTAATATGACCAATTTCAATTCAGCATTCCAATCTTACTTGGAGTTTTCTAACCATAACAGTTACCTCTAAAGCAATTTTAATAGAGAGCTCAAATTAAATCATAAAGAAAATTATATCACATACAGAGATGGGAAAACTGAAGCATTTGTTGTTAGTTCTGTGTCACAACCTGGTGATAGGTTCAGGAGAACCCATGTGTTTGTCTTAGGCTGCTGCTCTGGGCACTCATTGCTGCTGTCAAAGGGGAATAAGGTATAAAGACTGGGGAAGAGAGGTTCATTCTTTAAGGTACCTTGAAACATTTCACTGCAGTGAATGGAATTATGTCTTCCTGTCATTCACTGCCGAGCAAACACCTTTGAGATGGGAGTCAAAAGCCCAGGAGAACTTTGTGGAAATTATGAGTATTTCACTTTTTGCTCAGCATTGGAGAAATCCACCCTTTAGGCACCTACCACTTGATTGCTCTCACATAAGCTCATGAGTGCATTGTAATTATCCTTGATTCAAGCTAGTAAAACTGAGATCAGAATTACATGACAACTGCAGCTTTTGAAGTGATAATGACCATTTGAGGACAGAATCAGTGAAAATCTATTGCTAGACTCAGCCAATATCCATAGGTATCAGGGTTAAAGAGCAACATGATATTTGTATAAGCAGCAGAGTTACCTTAGCTTTCAGGAAGACTTAATATATTCCCCCAAATGAAAGAAGGCTGATTGGACTGGGAGCACATTAAACTGTCATGTACACACTGGCTCGCATTTATAGCTAACATTTTATTGAAGCTTTATTTTCTTTCCTCCTTTCCTCCTATTTTGTCATTCCCTCTTTTTACTTTTTCAAAATCCAACCACTTAAACCTCCATTTTGTGGAGTTTGCTTCCTGCCATGTCTTCAGCATGTTTTCCCTTGCCTCAGAGCTCTTCCTATGCCATGTTTTTGTAGCCCACATATTCAGACATCCATGTGGCTCAGAATGTGAGAACATAAAAGCTGAAGTGGTGAATGATGTGTGGGATGCATGATGATGAATGCAGGTAGACCTTGGTTCCACTGCAATGTGCCCTGGAGCTGACCTGAGCCTCCGTTTCCAAGTTTCTCTTGAAAACAGTTGCTCAGTATTCTCTCTCTTGCATACGGGTTTCTCCAGTTTATAGTCTGTTCTTTTAACATAAAAGTTCCTCTTCCATTTCTTTCCACTGCTACGTTGGTATTTTTTGTACTTTTCCCCATGGTTGAGAACAGCTTTCCTGAATATTTGTATCTGACTGACTGTCTCCATTTGGCTTCCCTGGCCACAAACACTGCACAGAGCCACACATGAATGAGAACCAGAGGCCAAAGGATCAAAACAGCTAACAGCTCGTTTGCCCTGCTAGGGGCAGAGTACTTTAGCACTGCTGCCCTACTTCCAGCGTTTGGGTCAGTGGGTGCCCGGTGCATAGGCTGTTTGGCCCCACACGTGCCTGCAGTGCCCGTGCCAGGTGTGTGTGAGGCCTGTGCAGAGACCTCAGCACAACACAGAAATGAGAAGTTGACCTGAGTAAGTCATCACAGAACTCTCCTGTGGAGACCTTTACAGCAGTTTACATCCCTTATTGAGTGATTCAGCTTGCATCAGCGACTCTCAAAGGTTTTATAGCTGACTCTTATGGAAAGCTCCTGAAAAAAGAAATTAATTCTTTCAGGGCAGTACCACAGCATAAAAGTTGCATAAAATGCTTTTATTGATTTTTTTTCCCCTCCACACTTTTGATTGCATCGTAGAAGAATCCCTATCTTTGTGTGCTATTGTCTTTGTGAAAATCAATGTGTTTATAAAATGTAGCCCTGACAGACAACATTTCCTCAGATCTAGCCAAATTCCTACCAAGGAGCCATTTTCCTTGTCACAGGGATGCCTTAAGATACTTTACAGCTGCAGATTGGGTGTCTCGTTGTAGCCTTTTCATGGGTTTAGCAGGGTGCAGGCAATTGCTGGATCATTCCAGGTAACTGAGGCTTCACAAATCAACTCATTTCTCTGGAGCCTGCTGAGTTCTGCTCCCTAATATAACCACACTTTTATTTTCAAAGTTTCTTTAAAGCTACAAAGAAAAATAAAATCAACTTGCCAATTTATCCTTACTTAGGTGTGATTTTTACCTTTTCTAAAAGGAGCACAAGTAATTTTTTTCTGAGATGAGAATGTTTTCCATCTCATCTAAGCACTGATTCTGAAGTTTTTATGACTGATCAGGGGAAAACATAATTTGCTTTTTTTGCATCTGGAGGGAGTGTTGCAGAAAAGAGAGGCAGTGATGTTTGTCCCTGCAGAACACAGATGTGAGAAGGACAGGTCCTGCTGCCATCTGCACACCTGATGCTCAGAGCAGGTTATGGCTCCTGCTTCCGTAGGGTGCAGCATGGGAAAACACTACTAATTTTTCCTAAATCTCATCCACATCCACATCCACAGTCTTGGTTCCTCTCTAAGCCCTGGGGCTTCAGTTACCTAGGTTTTATGTTTTCCTTCTCCTGTGCTGCCTTGGCAAATAGAGTGAGCAGAAGCAGGAGCAGGAAGGTTGGGAGCAGGAGGAACACGAGTGCCTTCCCTGTCCTGCAGGAATTGCTTTGGCTGCTCTGTATCTTTAAGGGGCTGACCCTATCCCACGGTGAGCCATTATAAAGGCAGGTAAGCAGCAGTGCCCTGATCAAGGAGCTGGGAGCAAGGCAGGGTGCAGCTCCCCAAAATGACTGGCCACCACAGTTGGGGATATGGGCAGGATGACGGTAGGTTATAGCATTTCCATGCTGCATCTCTCTGTCTTCCCCCACTCGTTTTCTTTCTAGAGCTGTTGCCTGAGCCCTGCAGAGCTGCCTGCATTTCGATGGCTGCAAGCATCAAGTATATACAGCAGGTAATTAATTACTTTATTGATAATCAATACTACCCAGAAAGTGGCACCAAAAGCTTACGCCTGCTGCCGTTCACTGTTGCAATCAGTGTTCCTAAACTGAGGGAAGCAGTACTGAGTGGAGCTTTTTTCCAGGCTGCAGATATTTTGGATGGGTCCCTTTCCAAAAAGCTGTTACGAAAAAGATTAACTGTGGCTGTCTCTCCAAAAGCAATTATTTTAAGTAAAGAAGGTTTAGTAGAGCAGTAATAGAGCTCCTGATTCTGTGCAGCTGTTGAAATGTGGTATCTAGGCTTCCATAGAAGTGCATAAAATAAGGTATATGCTATATATGTCTAGAACACCAATAAATTGCACAGATCAGTATCAGAGATCTCTTACAGAACAGTTTATGCTTTCTGATTTGACAGTTTTTAATTTAGTCATCCTCCTTTGCTTCCCACCTCCAAGGATGTGTGTCACAGAGTGAGAGGATATGTGAAGCTGCTGAAAGATTGCCACAGTAGTGTTTTATAGTGCCTGTGTCCTTCACAGGGAAGGATGGATGAGTGACTGGTGCTGTCCAATAAGACACTCCTTGGCATCACTTTTAGGTGCTTCTCTCTTTTGGCAGCAATTATTTTAGCTGCTGAGTGTCCAACAAGAGTCTCTCGTATAACCTTCAGGGGCCAGGCTCACTCTTAAGAGCAGTTACTTTAGTCTCTGTGAGTCCAAGAGCAAGTTTGAACACTAAGAAGCAAGTTTGAATGCTAAGTGAAGCTGGTTAGTGTGTGTTATGTGTTTGTGCGTGTAGGTAGTAGTCATAGAGCTATGTATACTCTCATAAAGCTTGTAAGAGCCACATGATACTGCCTTAGCTTGTGTGACAGCATTTAATTCTGAAATCTGCTTTACAGACAGGCGGAGAAAAGATACTATTTTATAAGCTTTTCTTGGCAGAAAATGTCAAAGCCGAATAAGAGTATAACAGATCACTGTTTTGTTATGTAAACTCAAGGAGGCTGAATACCTGTGCTTGGTTAAAAAAAACTTCCCCTTGTGAAAGTACGTGAGAATGCTGCAATTAAAAAGGTGCTTCTTGAGAATCTTGAAGTAAAATTGTTACTGTTAATACTCTATGAACAGAAGCAGTAGAATAATTTAATTGCTTCTTGCACTACCATACCAAAGTAGAAAATAAGCCATAAGAAAAAGTAATTCTTTGATATGGATAAGCTTTTGTTATCTCACACAGCATAAGAATGTTCCAGCTCTGCCAGCAGAGTTGTGTCTTTCTCCCCATTCTGAGGTCAGAAAGTCCAAAAATGTTAATTATCACACTGTACCCTTCACTCAGGGTAGAGAGATACCATAATGGGCATGAGTGAAGAATGAAGCTGCCTCAAAGATTTACTGCAGTCATAAAATGATTTTAAAAATAACTGCATAGTCAGTAGCTCAGAGATTGAGTCATCTGCATCTAATTTGGATCGCTGGAGCCTTTACACTCTCTTTCCCAGGAAGAATTAAGTGCTGTCTCTTTGGAGGAGTGTTGTATGCATGCAAGTGTGTTTACACCTGCACCCACCTTGGAAGCCCTTCAGGTACCTTAGCAATGTAACTGCAAGCTCTGCAGAAAACGAGTGGCACAAGTAGCTGAAGGTACAGCAGTCTGTTGATGTGCTATGATTTCCTCAGTCTGCTTTGTACAAGGTATTTGAATCCCCATCTTGTTGCAGCCTGTTTGTGCTAATAAAATCACCAGCTTAGAATGTAAATGAACTTCTCAGATCCAAACATTCAAATCACACTTGCTGAACAAGCTTCATTTCTAGCCTCATGAAAACCCATAATGATTATTTGGTGTATAGGAGGAAGAAAATAATGATGCTTTCCTTTCTCTCCTTTTGAAGGACCTTCAGAGTGGCACAAATCTTACCCTATTGCCCAAGGGAACCGCCAGTCCCCTATTGACATCGTTTCTGCAAGAGCAGTTTATGACCCTAATCTGAAGCCTCTTATTGTCTCCTATGAGTCATGCACATCTCTCAGCATCTCCAATACTGGCCATTCAGTTATGGTGGAGTTTGAAGATACTGATGACAAGACAGGTGAGACTAACACAACCAACTAATCCAGAACACCATTTGGTAACTTAGTCAGGGAAATGATTAAGTACAGGCTGTTCAGTGTAAAACCAGCACAGTATGGCATACAGTTTCAGTTTAGAACAAGGCATATGACTGGAGACCTTTATATTTTGTCTCCTTGAGCCTCATGTTTCTGGTCTTCACTTTGAGCCTCTCTAGCAAGGCAATATTGCAGAGCAAAATAGTATTTCTGCATGAGGAAAAGCTCTTGCACCAGGAAAATCAGAAGTTGACAGTGCTTCTCTCTTCAATGGGGATTGAAGTTAGCTGGACAGGGAACACATGCATCCCTCCAGCACAGCTAGACCACATCCAGCATGCAGAGTAGGCATGTAAACCCCTTACTGCCCTCTCTCTTGATCATCCAAATCCAAGATGCTAACTCACATGCCAGCTCTGGCTCACTGCCCAGTTTCTATGCTCAGGGAAGAGAAGAGGATTAGCAGGGATGGGTCATACAGCGTCGTAGTCATAATTGCAGTCACTGCACTAAGTTGTATGTGGACCAGTCACTGTTACCTTGCACTGTTTTCTTTGCTCCCTGCCTCATAGCAGTTCAGTTTCTTCAGAAACTAAAATATCTTCAGCTAATTCTGAGTTGGTAGCAGCTTGTGGATATTGGACTGTCTGCAGCTGTACGTTATTCTTGTCTCAGCTCTTGGCAGAGGATGTAAATGCTTTAAGTGATTGATTATTTCTTCTGTTAATTCTACTTCCTTGGCAGACTTTGCTTTTACATCTGGGGGTAGGGGAAGGGTATTCAAATGGAGATAAAGTAGCTGATAAATGGAAGAGTGCATTAACCACTCTGAACAATTTAAAAACCTATTAGCTGATTTTAACTTGCTTTTGGGTGTGTTGATTGATGCAAGTGAAATAGGATACCTAGATATTCAAAACAAGTTACTCCTTCTGTGAAGTGACTTTGTGCTACTAACCATTTGAAATAAGGGCTAGAAATTAAAATTCCAGCCTCGTGGTTCTAAAACATCTCTTCTGGAATGAACTCAAGACAATTTAAAAACCTATTAGCTGATTTTAACTTGCTTTTGGGTGTGTTGATTGATGCAAGTGAAATAGGATACCTAGATATTCAAAACAAGTTACTCCTTCTGTGAAGTGACTTTGTGCTACTAACCATTTGAAATAAGGGCTAGAAATTAAAATTCCAGCCTCGTGGTTCTAAAACATCTCTTCTGGAATGAACTCAAGAAACTGACCAAGGGGATGGTCATGTTTTCAAGCATCTTTACTGTATTTGCAAAGAAGACTGCATGTGCATTTTCCATTTTTACTGTGTAGATCCATTCAGCATGTCACCCTGCAAAGAGTTTGTAAAAGATCTTTGGAATATTAGCTTTCTAACTATTTTCATGCAATTTTAAGCTGAATTCTCTGTAGCAGTGAACTTTTTTTGGCTTTAGAAGTATAAGAACATCATATATAACTGCATTTAGGGATAGAGGCTTGGAGCACATGTAGGAATGAAGGCCTCTGCCCTTTCTACACTAAGCATATGTCTGACTTTAATAACACTTGCAAGGAAGATGACTGCTAGGAGTGGAAAACATGGGTTTAGTTGTGTTGAAATAGATCTAGTGACTCACAGCTCTGCATAACTGACACAACAGAATTTTGACAGTAACCGTCATATCTATATTCCTGAAGATATTTTAGACAGGTGTTGCATTCCTTTGCTAAGCTCAGAAAAACATATTGGGAGACACTTGTATTCTGAATTAATGCTGAATTGCTTTGGCTTTCCTGCCTGAAGGCCAGCTGGAACCATGCACGTGTGGTAGCACTGTGCCAGCCCCAGTCTTAACTTTGAAAACGAAACATTATGGACTACACTGGGGAGACCTGCTTTACAGACACTAACTGTAACGTTAATTTTTGTAATGTAAGACTTTGATCAGCTTTTCATGCCTCTTGGATGAGGTGTATTAGATTTGGTGCCATATAAAGTTACACTGATGCTGTTAGAGTATCTTCTAGAGGTGGCACCTTGAACATTCATCTGTTCTTAAGTGTTATTTCTAAATGATGTATGAAGTGTCTCTGTAGCATTTCCTTACCTTTTTAAGGTGATTTGAGCTTGAGTGGTGTCGTGTGAAGTACAAAGTATTGTATTACCACTTTTATGGGATCAGGTATTTCAAGGAAATGGAATATAGATAACCTCCACTGGAAGTGAAGATACTGTAAAAAGGAAATACTTAGCTGAATTGTCTAGGTATAAGGTTTCCTTGAAGCCTTGTCTTCTCCAGGCTGAACAATCCCAACTCTCTCAGCCTTTCCTCATAGAAGAGCTGCTCCATCCCTCTAATCACCTCTGCACTCACTCCAACAGGTCCATGTCCTTCCTGTGCTGGGACCCAGAGCTGGAGGCAGCGCTGCAAGTGAGGTCTCACCTGAGTGGAACAGAGGGACAGAATCCCCCCCCCCCCCCTGCTTTATCCCATGACCTTCCCTCTCCCTAGCCACCAAGCACTGCTTCTGAAGGGAAGGAGACATGCCCAGCCTCTCACCCACAGCAGTCTTTCTCCCAGGATTGCTTTCCACCTGTTCCACTTGTATTTATTGTGCTTAACAGGAAAGGCATAACTGTAACAGTGGCTACCACATCTTCGTATGTCAGATGTACTCTTTCAAGAAAGCTACAAAATTGTGCGCAGGTGGCTACTCAATGATAACATTTACATTTTCACATGAATTTAGGTGCTTTCCACTAATGAACCCACCCCTCCTAAATGTGTGGATGATGCATCTTTTTCATATTGGCAGCTGGAAGAGGCTGATGGGTTTTTTCACTATTGTGCCAACAGTGGTTAGATTTTACTAGCAGGAAGCTAAACCCTGGAATGCTTAAGCTTTTTTCTTTCTTTTTTTTTTTTTTTTTTTCCCTTTTTATTCCTGCCCAGCAATCAGTGGTGGTCCCTTTCAGAACCCATTCCGGCTAAAGCAGTTTCACTTTCACTGGGGCACAACACACAGCCAGGGATCGGAGCATACAGTTGATGGCAAACCTTTTCCCTGTGAGGTAATGATGTGTTTTTACAGATGGGATTATTTCATGCAAATGCTGTTGACAAGTGACTTTGCAGCAAGGACTGAATGTCCCTCAGGATTCTGATTGCTTACTCACCATGGTTAGGTCAGCCCAGACTGTGATGAGCTGGTGCTATCCATAGCTTAGAATTGGCTTCATGTAGGGACTCTTGAAAGCTCTGCAAAGCTAGGGCAAAGCACAGGCCTTTCCCAGCCCAATCTGACTAAAATACTATGGTAATGTGGCATCCTGGAGTCTACCAGTGAGTGCTGCAGCATAGTAGTGCTTCATAGGACAAAGGCCTGTGCCAGGGGAGTGAAGTCACAGGGTAATGCCTGATCTGTTTCAAATTAAAGCTGTGTGGTGGTTGGCCCTGGCTGAATGCCAGGTGCCCACCAAAGCTGCTCTGTCACTGCCTCCTCAGGTGGACTGGGGAGAGAAAGGCTGTGGCTTGAGGTAAGGACAGGGAGAGATCACTCACCAGTTACTGACACAACAAAACAGGCTCAACTGGGGAAAATTACCAACCAAATCAGAGTAGGATAATGAGATAAAAACTAAATCTTAAAACACCTTCCCCCCACCCCTCATTTCTTCCTGGGCTTAAATTTACTCCTGACTTTCTCTGCCTCCTGCCCCAAGTGGCCTAGGGGGGCAGTGGTCAGTTCACCACGTCTCTGCTGCTCCTTTCTCCTCAGGGTGAGGACTCCTCACACTCCTCCCCGCTCAGCATGGGGTCCCTCCCATGAGACAGAGTCCTCCACAAACCTCTCCTGCAGCCCATGGAAAGGAATCACACTGCCCTTTGGGAACTGCTCCAGCATGAGTCCCCTGTGGGGTGATGAGCTGGGGGAAGCTTCTGGCAGTCTCTCACAGAAGCCACCCCTGCAGCCCTCCCACTACCAAAACCTTGCCATGTCACCACAATATGGGCTGATACATAGAAAATTTGTTTAGTGTCTGTCCATGTTTATGGACTGGTCCAAAAGACTAAACTTGTTCATGTTTCCAGCAATGCCTTCGGCACAAAACCTACATTTTGTTATGAACAACTCCTAGTGCTGTTAAACGTGAGAGAAACTCTGTTCGTAGCTACTGTCACTAATTTAATTCTCATTTATAATTTTTCTTTAAAGCTCCACTTAGTTCACTGGAATGCCAGAAAATATGCAACATTTAGAGAAGCAGCAGCAGCTCCAGATGGCTTGGCAGTAGTTGGTGTTTTCTTGGAGGTAAGAATCTCAAAAATAGCATGTTTACATGATGAAAAGCATTATGCTGTCAAGTGTTTGAGGACCACACCACATATTTAAGTGCCTAAGGAAAGCAGATGACTTATTGGAAGCAGTAGCTCATTGCAAATTGCTGTTAAACTTGAGTAGGAATGTTGAGATTCAGATGAGAAAACACCTATTCAAAGCATAGTTGTAGTCATTTGTATTTAACCTGTCTATTCTGTGATTTTAGATTGGGAAAGAACATGCCAATATGAACAGACTCACTGATGCTTTGTACATGGTAAAATTTAAAGTAAGTTTTTGGCTCTTTAAATTTGTTTCTGTAACATCAAGCTCATATACATGTTTGAGACAAAAATGGAAAATCACCCACCACATATCCTCCCATGACTAGAACATCACTCTGGTTGTAATCTCCTCTTCCCTTCCAGAGTCCATTTTATTTGCCTAGTCTTGAGTGCCTCACAAGGCTGTGCTGACCCAGTGGTCATCCAGAGATTCTGCCTTTCTCAGAGTATCTAAATATCAAAAGCTCCATGACACTTTAAGCTCATCTCTCGCACTAAGCAAAATAATCCTTTTCCATCAAGCCTAGCCTGGAACAAGTGGAAGCTGTTTGTCTTCTGCTGCAGAGCTCTGTGAGGGACAATCTTACTGAGGTCCTGAGCTAGTCTGTTCTGAAAGCGTTTTCTGAGTGACTAAGTACCTTTCAGATATTCCTACAGGCTGAAAGATTTTACCCTAGACTGTGGTGCTTAAGGCAATCACTACCTTAGGCAGCAACTCCTATTTCTACTAGTCTTTGGGCTGATCCACCTTCCTCTATCAATCCACCTTCTTCTGATTTTTAAAGCCAATATTTACCCTAGCAGACAATGCCTATAGAATTTAAATTGTCTATAAAAATAGATGGGAAGAATAGAAAAGAGTAAGGAATGAGACAAGGAATTCTACGATAATATTACCTATAGCTCACACTGAACACACTTCCTGCATCATTTTTAGATCTATTGTGACTCGCTGAATCTTGGTAGGGACAATGGGGCAAGACCTCAGGGTTCAGTAAGCCAGCAGTAGGCATCACTCCTACACTTTTACATCAAAGTAAAAAGATAAATTTCAAGTAATTTTTTTTTCCAGGGAACAAAGGCTCAATTTAGAAGCTTCAACCCTAAATGTCTCCTGCCTTTGAGTCTAGATTATTGGACATACCTTGGTTCTCTGACAACACCACCCCTTAGTGAGAGTGTAACATGGATAGTGCTGAAAGAACCCATCAGAATTTCTGAGAAACAGGTAAACTCTTGATGCTCTCTCAGTTCTTGTAGGATTCCATGCTGGGTAAGCAGGCAGTGACTGTTCTGATTTGCAATGGGGCTAAGTTAAAGGGCTGGATATTCATCAAGGCTTCTGTTACTTTCTGTCACTACTCTCTTGGGTCTTTGCTTGAACCTGTTCTATTAACAGATTAAAATATACTGAATATTTTGGTCGTTTTTAAAGGACATGAATATTGATTGCCCCCTTAAACAGTCAATTATTTGACCTGACTTTACAGCTGGAGAAATTCCGCATGCTCCTCTTCACCAGTGAGGAAGACCAGAGGATCCAAATGGCCAATAATTTTCGCCCCCCTCAGCCTCTTAAGGGGAGAGTTGTTCGAGCTTCCTTTGAGGCCTGAAGAAACTGGTAATGGCCCTGAGATATCCAAGAGCTTCCACATCTGAGATACTATAAACAGAAACTCTGGTCTTCGGATCACTCGTGGAACACCAGAGAGCTGTTTCCATGGACATCCTGCTTGGAGAGGCACAGTCTTCTGGTTTTATATTTCATTTGAAGTGCTCATTCTTTTGAGAAGTGGGATCTTTTTAACTAGCACTGTTTAATATAAGGGATAGTTGAAAAAACTAGGCTGTTGTCCAAGACCTGAAACTCTAAAAATTAAAACCCAATTTATATAAATGGGAAATTATGTAGTGATCTACTAGTACTGATGGCCACAACTTCTCATTGTCTCATTTAATACATGAGGAGACAGTATTCAAGAACTACAAATAGGACTTAAATTTTCCTTACTGATCTGTTGTTAGCATTTGCTGAGCTCAGATTTTACAATTGCTTTCACTGTATCCTTGCTGTCTGTTGACACAGAGTGCATGAGCAGCACTAGAAGAAAGTTCTTGCCTCAAGTAGGCACTGGTATGAGAACTAGATCTATATTTTAAACTCACTGTTCTAAGATGCTATTTTATACTTAGGAGTAACGATGTAACGCTGTGTTTAGAAGCAGATCATCTTACTGCATAATGTGGTTCAGATGTGTGTCCTTTTGGCCCATGCAGCATACAAGACTGTACTGCCCTGGCCACTTTTGTTGAAGAGTACATCTGTAGGGATCCAAGTGTATGTGTGTTGTCCTCAATTGCTCAAATTCTACCTCAGTTAAGTGATATGCTCTGCAATATGACCTCCTTCATTGTCTGCCCTACAGAAAGTATTTTTTTGTTTACTTAGGGACCTAACATGGGTAGATCTTGACTGCACTGAGTGTGCATTGCTGCACAAGTCATCCCTTCCCATGGCTGTCAGGGATGCTCCCTGCACACACAGCTTTCATCAGTCCTCAGTCCTCTTACCTCTGCAGAAGCAAGTTGCTGTAGAAAAGCCATGTGATAGTTTTACTGCTCCTGCAGCTAAATTCAGACTCCTGTCTCTGGTACTAAATACTGTGATGTTATCTGTGACTACCCACAGTCTGTTTTCAGTGACTTTAATTCTGGGCTTCAAATGGCCTATTTTGTCTGTATAGTGCAGATAGAAATTGCTGATGCTTATCACATTTTATCAGCTTAGATGGAGAAATCGAAGATATACAATGCAATGGAAAGCCAGGGGGACAAGAACAGCAGTTACTGTGGCCTGTTCCCCTCTTTCAGAAAGGAAGAAAGACACTAGATCTGGAGCACAGTACAAGGAATTAAAGATTAGAATTCTAGTTTTCAGCTCTTCTATGGTTTTTCTGGTACACAGACCTAAACCTTTCTGTTTCACAGATTCCTCTTATGCAGAAAGAGGGTGACACTGACCTACCTCACAGGGATGTTGTGAGGCCTAATTCAGCATTGTTTTAGATGTGAGATTCTTATATAGCAGCTGCTAAAGGCAACAGACAATCCTTACAAAATGCAATGGGTTTAGCTGTTATGAATGTAACTTTGCTAGTAATGCAAACTGGTATTGCAGAAAATCTATTTCATGTAACTTTATTTCTTTAACAAATGAAATAAATGAGACTTTAAAACCAAAAGTGCCTATCTTCATCCTCTACTCTGAGTAGACACCTCTCCCTATGTACAGTGCTGGTTCTCTTGCACTGTCATTAACAGAAATGTTTGCTATTTTCAACTAATGCCTCTATTTTGGATCAAATAGTGGTTTGATTGTTTACCCTGAGTTCCACAGAGACCTTGATTAAGCTAGAGGAGAATGATGTAAGTATAGATAAGAGTTATCCCTCCCAAGTTCCTAGGCATTATTTTAAGTTCTAGAAACTATTGCTGACAAATAGTTGTAGCCTGTATCACCGTTCGTCCCATCTTTTGGGATTAATAGTTTCTGCTTCAGCTTAATCCTTTGATTTAAATTCTGACATGTTGTGTATCTTGAATAACTTTTTGCCCAGTCAGAGCTAAATTATTGCTGCCATGAATTTCATGTTACCATTAAAATTAAAATTTATATTGAGACACACTTTAAAATGTAAAAAGTCTTTTCAAAGAACCTTACATATTTGATATTCCAAATATATTAGGGGCAAATTTAAAATACTTCCCTGATAAAAACATAGCCAATATTACTTACTACATGTAGCTTAATTGACCTACCCAAGTATTGCTGCATTAATATTTGTACACATGTTCACAGAGCAGGCCACTGATCAATATTTTCAGTGTCTTCTCTCCTTTTAGGTATATAAGGATGTTTCTGCTCACTCAGTCTCTCACACTAGGTACTAGGGCTTGTACCCCAAAGCTTTGTCCAGTTTCTCCCCAACTACAAACATTCAGTCTAATAAAACAAAGTTTATTTATCCCTAGAATGTGTCTGTTCTGTGACCTTGAACACAGTACTTAAGCTTCTTTAAGGGTGGTTTAGTCATGAACAAGCGAAGAATAATGTTTAGCTCACAAGGCTATTGTAAAAGCTTAGCTATTGTAAAGAGTTTCAGGTGCTGAATTGCCCCAAGGTGTTCAGTTCCAGGGAGGAAATAAACTATACCTTCCTTCAGAAATAAATTTTGTTTTACTTACAGGGTTTGTTTTCAGTTGTTGGATTGAAGAACATGATATGTTTTTTACCATGGCGAAGCAAAAATGGAAAATGAAGCCTTTTCTTTGTTGTCTTGTGAGACCCTGGTCATCCAACAAAAAATGTAGAGATGGTTACGTTTTGTGTGGTTTTAAAGCTATAAATGCTAATTTAGTGAACTTGATTTATTTGGAGATCAAACAATTCTACAACATGTGCTATCCTTATCTTTTACCAACTGTGTTGAAGGAAAAATGGGAGTTGACTAATTGCTCCAGCAAGACTTGCTTAACTTGTCACAGGATCACAGCTGTCATGTCTGACAGAACACGAGGTCTCCTATTTAGGACACTGACTGAATTTGCACAGCTGTAAAATCTAGATTTAAAATGCCATCTAGTGGCCCTCTGTTTACATTTCTTGCCACAATGCTTAAAACAATTTGTAACTCATTCAAAATGCAACAGATGAGAGAATTTAGCTTTGATTTCAAAGCTATGGATGAGTGCAACCCTGTGCTAGTTCTACATACACAGTCCTTGAGTCTCCTTGCTGAGATAAAAATCAGTCTTGCAAAAGAAATGTGATAAACCAGTTACAATTTTTTGTTTCTCTTTTCACTGCTGAGTAGAGATATCCTCTGCTTGGTAAACTGCACACTATCCTAACTTTAGCTTTTAAACTTTAATAGCTGTAGTTACAGTTCAACTTAGGTTCTTTTCCCCCATCCTCTGCAAGCAGAAAGATTTTTTAGGCACTTTCAGTCACACAGTTGCTATGATCTAGCAGTGATTTGTAATGATAGATTCCATTATGAGTGTGATTAATGTAAATACAAGTACCAGGGGAAAGGTTTTGCAAGGTACCTCGACACCAGATGGAGCTTTTGGTGGAGGTCAGAAGACCTTTCAAAGGTCAGAAGGATAAAGAAGGGAGCATTTCAGGGGAAAAACCAGAGATAAGCCTGAAGAAAATGGGATGTCATACCTCAGATTAGCTGTTTTCCTCTCTGAATTCCTTCTGCATGCAAAGGTGACCATTTAGTAATGGCACTGCCTGTAAGAGTGGGGTCTCATGCTTTTTGAAACCTGACTGACTTAACAGAGCTGTTCCCAACCTGCGTAGCTGTAAGGCAGAGGATGTTCCTGCCTCTCCTGTGCTGTTCATTCTGCTACTTGCGCTACATTTGAGATTTAGTAAAGACTCAGCTCCTTACCCCAGGTTGTGATCAGCAACATAGCAATGCAAATCATCATTTCATCTTCTATGAATATAGTGGAATATTCAATGTAGCAATTCAGGATTCAGCTCAGCCTGTTCATCTGCTGGGGGAGAAGAAGGTGAAAGGGGGAGAAGGAGGAAGGGAATATAATTACTTTTGTACACATGAGCACTTCATACCAAGCCAGAAGATTTTTCCTGCTCTTGAAAGCTGTCTCAAGAAACTGAGACTTACTTTTACAGTGGTACAGAACCTTAATGAACTTGTATCTCAGTTTAATCTGATCCAGTTTGTAAGCAACATCCGGGAAAAATGATGTATGTGGAGTTCAGATCCCATTACAGCAACTAGACAGACCTTTGCACCGCTGCAGTTACAGGAACTTAAACTGCATCTTCAGCTTAACCCCTGCAACCTCAGACACACTGCACAGCCTCTGCTGCAGCAGGGGAGGCCAAGTGCACAGCTGGAATGGCTT